CCCGTGTATGCCGATTTTAGGTAGCTGCCATCCACAATCACGATGGGTCTACAGTAATCGAACCCCTTTAAAAAAGCATGCAACGATATATATAAATACATGAACTCATTTTTGGGTAATTTTTCCATTCTAATATGTGAACCAGGATATGCCATATCCAGTGTATATAAGTACCCTGATAATTTATTATATGAATTAGCTGGTTCACCTCTCAAAAAATTTAATGCCTTTTCTTTAGCGCGTCACGCTAACATGTAACTAACATCTACACCAAAGTCCGATTTCACATCATCAATTATATCCTTTGGCGTGTATTTCCTCTTATGATTAGTAAATTTGGACCTAATCATTCCCCCAATCAACCTACTGGTTGCTTGACGTTGCTCATGTACCTTATCCTTCAACGAACATGTATGCTTATCATTAAACTCCCTCACTTTGTACATTTATGATTTGTTAATACTAGAAGCCTTAAATCTCCATTCACAATCCTCAAAAATACATAACAATGTATAGTTGCAAATATATTTGTGTTATAAATACAATTGGTTATGTATGGATAAAACATATATAGATCCTACAGTTGGTTCGGCTACAGACACACAACATTTTAATTTGCCAACAAAAGTTTTGAATATATAAACATACAACGGAATACAATGTATGTTACATGAATATACTATATACCTTTTTTGAATACATTGCATAAAATAATGTATAAACATACATTAAAATAAATAGTTCAATTCTCCTATTTATAAAATGCACTCTTTAAACATACATTAATATACTGTTTCACAACATTCAATTACAAGAACACTCATACATAAACATAGTATGAAGGAAAGCATATATTATGAATACAATATTATATTTACTGTATTTATAAAATTCTACCATGAATATTTTATAAAACTATTACGGATACATATCCATATAGTTGAAAATACCATATTGGTGAAGAGGTTATAAGTAATAACATTCAAACATGATAGCATTAGACCTATCAACCCGAAATTAAAATCTTTCAGCAATTGCATATTGCTCCATCACCGCCTTCAATGTTGCCTTATCCTTATATACTTGTTCAGCCATGACCTCTCTTTGATTCGTTTTTGAAATAATCAAATTCCTTTCCGGTTTGAAAACATCAATTGGTTCACCCGAGTTTAAATACTCAAGTGCAAGTGTATCAACTGTATCAAATTTACTCACCCCATCTGTTTCGTCTAGTTGCATTAGGTCACTTTAAATTAAACTTCCCCCAACTACAATTTCTTTATCCATTGTAGTTATACACAATGGATACATCCCCAATTCTCTATTCTCCTTTTTTAACTATACATACACTTGTAACCCATGTTGTTGTGTATTTTCATAGGCGTGCAATTTTTTTCCACTTTGTATTCAATTTTAATTGACTTTGAGCTCAAATATATGGCAAGTTGCTTCGAAATTGAAGCAACCAAATCATTGTACGACGCATACACCTTTATCAGTATCCCATCAATCGAATAATCGACATAACTATTCTCAATATTTCACTTGCCAGAATGACGAAGTAGCACAGTTAAATTTGCCATCTAGAAAATCGAATTTCAAACTATTTATGTAGATATTTGTATCACTTCCTATCAGAACCTCGAACAATATCAGTGAAAAAAAAACCTCGAACGATACCAGAAAAAAAACGAGGGACTGAAACTCTGAAGATGGCTATGTTTTTTGGTGTTTGTCGTCTGATAAATCTTCTCATTAATTTAATTGTTAATGTTGCGCGTTATAATTGTGTTTGTTAAGTTATATTAGGAGTGTATCACGTTAATTGATCCACTTTTCATTTTTAAACAGTTTGAGAGATCTATTTTTACGCAGATTGCCGTTACTGTATTCATAAATACAGTGCACGAATACATATGAATACAACGTCGTATAATTGGATTGCCCTATTTTTCGTCAAGTTTTGCTACTATATTCATCAATACAAGAGCTTGAATACATTGAATATATTACCATAACAATTGAAAAGGTAGCTATAAGAAGTAATTAAGTATATGATAGTTATAGGAAGTTAATTAACACTAAACAATAGTGGCATCTGAAAAATTCTCAAAAAAGCTAGTATAATCAAGAAGTCTGTTTACGTAAAAAAAATTACATAATTTTAATTTATATTTTAATATACTTATTTATGGTTATACATTATAAAAGTTGTAAGTATAGAATTTTCATAGTATAAAGAATGTAAGTGTTTGATTTTAAAATATAGGGGTATGTCCAAAATTGAGTTATATTACAAGAATATTTAGTGTAATTAACCTAAAAAAACATAAAAGCAACCTTAACTGATTTCTCGCACTTAATTTGCATATTCTATCGTATTAGAGTTTTAAGTTATTTTTCACCTTAACAAATGATTTATTTAATCGATTTTAATTTTAACTTTGGGTAAGAACTATTTGGGTAAAGTGGATTGCTAGAGAGGTCTTAGGGGGCACGAAGGGCTCTCTTGGGGGTTATAAAGGGGACTGGTGGTAGAATGGAGAGGTCCAAGGTAAAGTGAAAACTAAGAAAGCTGCTTATTTGAAGCTAGTGAAGAGTACAAACGAGGAGAAAAAAATGACTTATCGGGAGTGTTACAGAAAGGCAAAGAAAGAGGCAAAGTTAGCAGTTACGATGGCTAAGAACGCGGCATTTGCTAGTTTGTACGAGGAGCTCGGGGGAAAAGGCGGGGACAAGAAGTTGTACTGGTTGGCCAAGGTGAGGGAGAGGAAAGCCCGCGACATAGACCAAGTCAAGTGCATCAAGGACGAGGATGGCAAAGTATTGATGGACGAGACACTTATTAGGAGAAGATGGCAGATATACTTCCATAAACTGTTGAACGAGGAGGGGGATAGACGCGTTGTGCTGGGTGAGTTGGAGCACTCCGAGAGTTGGTGGGATTTTGGGTACTATATGTGGATTACGGTAGAGGAGGTGGAAGGGGCGATGCGTAAGATGTGCAGGGGCAGAGCGACAGGGCCAGACGAAATTCCGATGGAATTCTGAAAGAGGGCGAGGCGAGCAGGTTTGGAGTGGCTCACTGGGTTATTTAATGTTATTTTTAAGACGAAGAAGATGCCCGAAGAATAGAGGTGGAGTACGATGGTTCCACTTTACAACAACAAGGGTGATATCCAAAATTGCAACAATTATAGGGGTATCAAGTTATTGAGTCACACTATGAAGGTTTGGGAGAGGGTGGTGGAGGCCAAGGTGAGGAGGTGCGTGTCTATTTCCGAGAATTAGTTTGGATTCATGCCGGGGCGTTCGACTACAAAAGCGATTCATCTAGTAAGGAGATTAGTGGAGCAGTACAGGAAGAGGAATAAGGACTTACATATGTTATTTATTGACCTTGAGAAAGCATACGATAAAGTCCCGAGGGAGGTCCTGTGGAGGTGTTTGGAGGTTAGCGACGTTCCGGTAGCGTACATCAGGGTGATTAAGGATATGTATGATGATGCTAAGACTCGGGTGAGGACTGTGGGTGGTGACTAGGAGCATTTTCCTGTGGTGATGGGGTTGCACCAGGGATCGACTCTTAGCCCGTTTTTATTTGCCTTGGCGATGGATGTACTGTCGCGACACATCCAAGGGGAGGTGCCTTGGTACATGCTATTTGCCGATGATATAGTGTTGATTGACCAGACGCGAAGCGGAGTTAATGCGAGGTTGGAGGTTTGGAGACAGACCTTGGATCCTAAAGGTTTCAAACTGAGTAGAACCAAGACATAATACTTGGAGTGCAAATTTAGTGACGAGACCCATAAAGCAGACGTAGAGGTAAAGCTTGATGCTCAAGTTATCCCCAAGAGAGCGAGTTTTAAGTATCTCAGGTCTATTATCCAAGGTAACAGGGAGATTGACGAAGATGTCGCACATCGCATCAGAGAGCGATGGATGAAATGGAGACTCTCTTCCGGTGTTTTATGTGATAAAAATGTGCCGCCAAGACTTAAGGGTAAGTTTTATAGAGTGGGGGTTCGATCGACTATATTGTATGGGGCTGAGTGTTGGCCAGTCAAGAACTCCCACGTGCAGAAGATGAAAGTAGCAGGGATAAGTATGTTGAGATGGATGTGTGGGTGTACCAGGAGAGATAAGATTAAGAATGAAGCTATCCGGCACAGAGTGGGAGTAGCCTCCGTGGAGGACAAGATGCGGGAGTCGAGGCTGAGATGGTTCAGACATGTTAAGAGAAGAAGCATTGATGCTCCTGTTAGGAGGTGTGAGAGGTTGGCCATGGAGAATTTGAGAAGAGGTCAAGGTAGGCCTAAGAAGTACCGGGGAGAGGTAATTAGACAGGACATGGCGCTGCTTCAGCTCACTCAGGACATGACCCTTGATAGGAGGGTGTGAAGGTCGAGGATTAAGGTAGAAAGTTAGTTGATAGTTTTTAGTTGTTCACCGATAGTCTTAGTAGCATGCATGTCCCTTCATATTCTTAGATTTTTATTACGTTATGTGGTTTTGTTCGCCTCAGGTATTGTATTCCCTGTTGCTATTATTTGGTACTACTTATCCTTTATCTTTTCCTTTTTCTTTTCTCTTCCTTCCTTGCTTTCCTCTTCTTCTTCTTACCCTTTCTGAACCGAGGGTCTATTGAAAACAGCCTCTCTACCTGCATTAGGTAGGGTAAGGTCTACGTACAGACTACTCTCTCCAGACCCCACCTGTTGGCAATATACTGGGTTTATTGTTGTTGTAAGAACTATTTGAGACGGAATATCATTACGATCAGGTCGTGGCTTAAACCAATTTAAAGAAACCAAAAAAAAACATAAAAAGCACGTCGCATCTTTTTAACACGAGGTACTGTTAAAAAAATTAAAAAAGAAAAAGAGAAAACGTAAAACGAAATTCAAAACCACTTCTTTTTCCCGCTTAAATCATCCTTTATAAATAATCGCTCTGTGTCTCCCACTATTTTCTTTCTTCATTTCTCAAAACAAAAAACAAAGGCAAAGTAGCTTACGACGTACATTACAATGGCACCGAAAAAGCGTTCTTCTCTCTTCTCTTATACTACACCTATTCCCATCGGTAAGGGAAAAAAACCTAGATTGCTCCAATTAACAGTTCAATAATTTTTCTCATAAAATCCCTAATTTTCATTATTTTTCTGTTTTTGTCAGTTTTAGGAAATTGTAAGGTTGTTGTGGAAGCTGGGAAATTCTCCTCAGAATTAAACGGAAATAATCTCGAAATATCTTTGGCAAAGAACGCCAAAGTCAAAATCTCTGGTAATAATCTTACTTAGTTTAACATTTTTATTATTTATTTGTTTACTATACTTCTTGGATGGTCATTCAGGTTTTTCTTTAGGATTTAAGTTATGTACACTGATAGTGTAAGTGAATTGTAATATGTGATAGAAGATTAGTTACCATCTTTATCGAGATATTAATTAATGCTTATAATATTTTGAAGTGAGTGGTTTGCTAATGTTAATGTGTTTTGCAGTGGTGGATGATGGGAATTGTTCAAAGGAAGGCGAAATCCCTATGAATAGTGGGTATGAGGAAAATGGTATGGAGTTTTTTGGGATAAATTTCTCTTTTTTGTTTCATTTTATTGAGTTTGTTGTATGTATGATTTTTCTTGATTTGTGAAATGATTGATTTGGTTGTGGGCCTGTGTTGATTAGGTAATTACTGCTTCATGCTCATTAATCCCAAAGATGTTGACGGAAAAACCAAGTCTTTACTTCAGGTATATCCTTTTTTTGTGTATACCAAGTTTGTTTCTAGGTATATTTGAGTGTAGTGTATTTTGTATGTAATTGATTGAATAAAATGCGCCTTAGTGCCAAACTAGTCCGTGTCAGTTATTTGAATTCCTTATATTCATTTTGCTCGGTTCATTCGTCATAATTATACTATTTGTTTGCATATAGTTTTTTATATTGCAGCTGCTTTAGCTTAGCTCTTGGACACAAGTTTTCTCATGAGTTTGGCTACTGTACTTGGAACTTGTTGCGCAAATGGAGAAAATGAAAATAGTATTTTGATAAGAAGATGTAAAAAGAATTTGGTTGGTGTTTCGTCTATAACATCATGCAAATTTGGTGGTTAACATTTCCGAAGTAAATGATCTTTTGGTTAATATTAGCTCAAGTATTTTGGGAGACACCTTCCTACTTGTTTCTATCTATACTCGACAAAGTTCTGCCAGAAAATGGTGGTGGGCATTCTATGTTTGGATTGGATTATGATTCAATATTCTGTGTGCAGAGCATCTACCAATAGATGAATTAGTAACTAGGGGAAAACATGAACATAGGGTGATAGGGAAATCTGTAAAGGCTGTGCAGTTGTGATTACTTAGCCCTTTCTATGTCTGTTGGTTGACAAAATCAGAACACACTGACAAATTATTCGTGTTGTGTAACAAATGAAGGTGGTGTTTTCTTTCTCTGTTGTCTGTGCTTATCTTTTATTTTACCCTGCTTGATAATTGCTGCTTAGACTGAGTTGTTTTCCATCCTCACTTGTTTACTGTCTATGTTGTGGCAGGAAGTATTGAGCATTTATTCAAATGAGCTACCAGCAATGAACTATGCTGCAAACACAGGAAAAGAATCACAATTCCTTGAAAGATGTGTATCAAATGGGTATAAATATGTAGCAGTTAATTCTTCTCTCTGTGCTGATGTTTTTTTCTCATGGTCTTTTAGCATAACCCTGCTTCTGATGTATTTCAATATTTTGTGAATGGATGGGAAAAATCTGCATTTTGAATGCTGATTGCTTTGGCAGGAAGTACTGCACGCTAGTTCTGAAAACCAAGGAGGACATAGAACCTGGGGAAGTATGCTCCGATGATTGCTGTACTAGTACTTGTTATGTGCTTCTTGGTATAAATGGAATAACAAATTCCATCCTATAGGTCATTGAGCTTGGTGGCATGTGTATAGATGATTTCTATGTATTAACATTACTACTTAAATGTACAAGTCAGTGTGCTCGTGAAGGTCTACTGCACTTTGCTTTAACTGAAATTCTGCATCTAATCCTTTTTTATCTTTATATTGTCAAGGTCATTGCTGCAATCACTTATCAAATAGTTCCAGCTGATATGCAATTTGCTGAGGTTCCTCTTGCGGCTGTTAAATCGGTGTACCAACTCAAGGTTCACTAGTTGTTCCCTAGCTTTAATTTGATTTTTATGTTGATTTCTGATTGCCTCTTTGATTCACATACTGGATTAAGACTGGAGTCATTTCTCTCGTGCTTCAAGAGATATGAGTGCAAAATTGCAAATTTTAATGCTGTCAGAACTATGAACTCTGTGAGAAACATAGATGTAGTGTTCTGTTAAACTTGTTAAATTTTTTCATCTTCTTTATTCTTTATGTACTCTTCTCTGCTCTTTATAAGAGAGATGCTTATTACAGACCCAAATTAACCAAATAAGTGTATCCTTTCTTTAATGGTTTATGCTTTTAAATAATATGGTATACATCATTCATTCAATAATTCCTTCATAACTATTCAAAAAGTTTTTTAAAGTTTGAAAAATCCCAACATTTCGCTGCTTTTAAACATCTGCATGCATTAATTTTGACAAATTTCCTAATAGATAATGTTCAATGGTATAGGAACTTGGGACAATATTAACAGCTTGACTTACAGGGGATTGGTCGCTTAATCTATTTGGAGCTGAGGAAAAGATTGCAAGGTGTGGGCGTTCGAACCGTACTTTGCTGGGGAGATAAGGAGTCTGAAGGATTTTGGCTTAAGCAGGTAAACCTTCAATAATGCTTGTATGGGGTTGAACTATAACCAATCATGGCTGGTTTTAGAATATAATACATTACTAAATATGTATAAAAGATTCCCAAAGCATGCTATTTAAGGTAAGTTCCATATTTTTGATGAACTTTATCAAGTCGAAAACAAAATATATCAAAATGCATTACGGTATTTACCTTCTGATAATCCCTCTGCATCAAATAGGTGCATAGATACTGGCTATGCGTATGCTTTCTCTGTTGCTCCTACACTTTATGATAATAAGCAATGTGTGTAGGGGTTTTCAGTTATTGGTCAAGTTGACACGAAAGGCAGAGCTCGCAGGCTCCCCGTTAAGGCTGATATTCGAAAAGCATTGTGTTTTCCTGGCGGTTCAAATCTCATGATTTCTCATTTCAACAAGGACAGCTTACACGATTCTGCAGTGTATCTAAATTTGAAATTCCCCTTAAAGCCTTCAGGAGAGGATTGCCAATCTCCAGTTCTTCAAGAACAAAGAGAAACTGTGTCTGAGGGAAATGACCATTCCCAGGACAGAAATGAGGCAATTAAAAGCATCGGCTCTAACTACTATGGTAAGTGAAGCTACTACCACTTCTGCTAATTCACAGAACCGCATTATTTTCCTCTTGTATTAACTCCATGCTAAGTTATTTATCCTTGCAACAATTACTTTCCTGCACACATCAAAATAATTACTAGCTCCAAGGTAACTTTGTAATCTTATGACCCTTAAATGTCTGGCTGCATCAACGTTATTTTTAGTTACTTTGAATTCAAAAGAAAGTAAGAAACAAAAAATAAGTTTAGAGCATATTGCGACTTCTACAGATCTTTCAATGTGTATCACTATTCTCATTTCTGTATTTCTTTCAAGATTGTCAAGACTTTCAACCTGGAGATGGTGCTGTTGGGAGCAGCAAGCATGGACCTATGGGATTCAATGAAAGCGAACGCCAAGCTTTACTGAAGCAATGTTCTTGTTCAGCATCAGGATCAAAGAAGAGGACTTGGGAAACCTCATACACTTCTGTTAAATCCAAAAAAATAAAGGGAGGACATCAAACTGACTGTGACTTGCATGCTAAGGACAATAGTTTAGAAAGTGATGTAGGGATTAGTTTCTCTGCAGTTTCAAAGAGAAAATGTAAGACAGATATTAATCCTAGTGACCGATTAACAAGCCGCTCTCTGGAAAAGAATGCTGAAGAAGCTACCGCAGTTAATTTGACATATAAAGGTCACAGTAGCCCAGGCATTTATTCAAGAGGGACAAACTACAGAATTATGCTGATGAATATTGCTGATGATAATAAAAAAGCAAATTTGACCAAGGTATACTCTAGTTGCCTACTTTTTTCCCAGACACTTCTTTAATAATTGTTTGATGCTTATCCCCTTTCATAATATGAATTTGTAGACTATTTTGACACCTATTTGAGGATTCTTCTCATTTATTATTCCTTTTAAATGCACATTTATGCTGCTTATGCAGATAATCGGAGACCTTGGTGGAGATGTTACTTCTGATGGAAGTGTAAGCACACACGTAGTCACAGGCAAAGTGAGGAAAACCTTGAATTTTTGCTCTGCTCTATGCTCAGGGTGAGTTTCTCAACGCGTGCTGCTTGCTGCAGCCCTGATGGCATTTTAATCTATCTTGACTATTCCATAAATTTGGAGTTGTTATTTTCCTATTTTTTTGTCCACTGTTTCTGCTAGTTCTCCTGTAGTCCTTTATCGGTAGTAATATTGAGGGAAAAACCCAAAACTGATCAAGGGAAATTAAACCAGGAAAGGTAAAAGCATAGAGTTGTGTTAATTCGGCTATGGTACTAGACTACTAGTTCAAAGTAGTCAGAAGTAAGTCCAGGTTTTAAGCCTCTCAATACTGGCCATGGGGATGTGAACTACAGTCGACGAGGAACGATCAAATCAAAGACCAATATTGTACTTTATGCACCATAGTTATACCAAAAGTATATTATGCACCATAGTTACCCAGTTCAGAAGTATAGAAGATGAGATGGATATGCAACTTACATTTTTGAATTTTGAGTGAGTCTTGTCATTCTAACACAGCATAACACAAGATCAAATAGCTACTTGGTTTGCTAGCCTAGGCGTTTCAGGCGGAGGTGAACTGCCCTAAGTCTAAAATTACAAGATGGACTGACTATTGTCCATCCCTTTGTTTTCTCTGCTTATTTCCTGAATACAATTACTAGAGTTTACATCTGATATTTATTTCAGGTTAAGAGATGAGCATTTTCTTTCTTGAGGCTGCTTTAAGCTTTCCTTTCTGAAAAGGACAGTTTCTACAAGATGGACATCTTAAGAGTGCAAAATTGTCACAGCACGTGCAAATAAGAGATCAGGGATCATTTTATGCAAACTGTACATAAAATGTTCCAAACCTATGTGAAAATCTAGGTCTGCATCCATAGGATAAATTTTTGATAGGATGATTTTGGTTGTTGTGCTTTTAGAAAAATATGTAGGATTGTCATGGCTAGAAATAATGCATCATAGTGCCACAAAGTTAAGATACTATCCAAATGTCCGTTTGATTTTTTTTTTAATGTCATATGTACTGTCTTATTTTTCTAAACATATAGACAATACTACGTCATTCACTTCTATCTCTTGTTATTTTTTCCCAGCCTTACTTTTTGGTTTCCAGTATTTGTAACCTAAATTCTTGAAAGTAGCTAGACTCCAGAATTTGATTGCATGTGTTCTTGTTTTTGGTCTTGTGGAAATGCGATCAGAGCTTGGATACTGTCACCAAGTTGGTTGAAAGAAAGCTTCCGGAATGGCCAATTTATAGGTGGGTAAAAACTGTTAAGTTTGACCTTAATTGGACTATTGACACTTGTTGATCATTCCCTGTTGATTTTTCCAGATGAAATGCCATTTATTTTGAGAGATGAAGACTACGAACTGCAGTACAGAACTGAGCTTAAAGGGGTAGTTCTTAGAGCAAAAACATACCCCCAATCTCTGCTCAAGGGGTATGACATATGTCTTGCAGCTCATGTTCATCCTCCAGTTGGTACCTTATCAGACATTGTAAATTCTGCAGGAGGAAATGTGAGTTAATATTTGCTTAATGAGCAAGCAATCTTCAGAATATCCATAATGCCGTTTATATTTTTCCAAAATCATGTCGAACTTGCACTCTCTCCTTCTCTTCCACCATCTGTTATCTAAAATCTACTAAATCTACTGGCTCGACTAATCTGGATTTGCACTTGGTAGGCCAACTAAGGGGAGTAAACTTGTACTTTCTCCGCTTGAGAAAAAAGGACCAAGATGGAAATAATTGAAAATAAGGAGATGGAGCATGTCATTTTTTCCCTGCATTATTTGATGTCATTTCTTACTAAATTCGTAGGTTATACATGGACTAGATCAAGTGAAAGACGATTCTAAAACGATATTCGTTGCATGTGAAGAAGACATGGATGAAGCACTGTCAGCAGTTAAGAAGGGAATATGGACTTTCAGCAGTGACTGGTTTATGAACTGCATAATGAAACAAGAGCTTGACTTAGGAGCTCCTCAATTTGCAGAGTCCCTCTAATGCACAGATTAAGAGCAAAATGATCTGATAAAATATGAAAAAACGTGAATATTTCTGAGGAAGGAAACTTGAAAAATAAAACTTAGGATAGTTTATATGCTCTTTGTTAACAGTTGGGGAGAAACACTTGAGATGTTTCCATTTCTTCTAAATTCTAATATCTTGTCTGTATTTGTAAATGGTTGTAATGGACATTTTTCCTCATCAGGGTTAACTTACTATTGACCAATTGAAGGTTAAATTGTGTTATACTTAAGCATAGGAAATTAGGAATGGCAACAGGTAGGGATTTGTGATGGCACTGTTTAAAAATTTAGTCAGTGTTGGCAAATGCTCGTCATCTGCTTCTTGGTGAATTTTAAATAGCAAAATCAGACATCAAATAGATATTGTACCATATTCTACTATTGTACTAAGAACACAATCAAGATATGATGAATATATGGAAAATACAACTGGAAACATGATGCGAAACAAAAGGCCTAATTAGTGCCTCCTAACAAATCCATTGGACGAGTTAAACTCATCCAACGGGTTTCCATATTCGACCACAATCATAATACACAACTAATGAAGATACAAGCAAAAACAAGAATAAAATGTTGATAGGGGGCAACATGCGCATGCACAATCAGTCTATTTATAAGTCTGACTTCCTGTGAGGACGGTCTGAATTACACTCATATTGTTAACAATTGCTTAACGAGGAACCGCTGGATCATTAACTGTAGCAAAAAATCCTCGTCAAATCCAAATGCGTTTGCTAACACAGCTAGAACCTGGAAAGGTAATTGATTTTCGAACAATAAAATCGTAGAGGGAATTGATCTTATTTTGTCATTCTCTGAATTAACTGATGTTGTACTAGGAGGAGGGTCATCTATATCAATGACAGAATGTAACCATTCAGCCATTTCGTCTGCTCTACTACCTCTGATGGTGTCAGCTCGCAGAATTTCCATTTTCGAAAGAAAATGGAGTATGCAATTTTTGATATATATTCAAGGGAAGATAAGATCAGTTGGAGCATCCCTGCATACATATATACCACTCACCGATAAAGGGTAAAAATATTTTTTTATATTAATTTAATAGAGTATTGGTTATTTTTGCTCAATATTAAAAATATTGAATAAAAACTAAATACCATGTTAATAAGTAGCTTTACCACGCCATTTAGTAATATATAGTCTTCCAAAGCACGTGCTAAGCCCGGGCCCAAGATCAAGGCAATAAATTAAGTCTATAATAATAATAATTTATGTTATGTTTTTAACCACAACTTTTTAAAGATCATCTCTTCTTAACCATTTATTATTCTTTATTTATGTTTTCTGATCATATCATTAGATAATTTATTAAAAGAGATATTTACAAGAAAGCAAGTGTGCTAAGGAATAAGCAGATATCAAAGGGACAAAGGTAACTCGATATTTTATAACATAATTTAAAGTATGAAAAATGATTCAAAATGGACAATAATCATAGATTAAAGAAGATATTTAAATATTTTATGAATTTGTGGGTATATAATTTCTAATTAGAGGTAGAAATAAAGAAGATATTTTAATATATTTATAGACAATAAATTTGCGTCAAGAAAATAATCGAGACTGAAAAATATTGCAAACAATCGTAGTATTTGATTTCAAATATTTGACTGTACAATCTCTATTAATCCTCTGATTCTTCTTTTCAATAGTAAATAAATTCAAGGGTCTTTGAGCTTGATCTTGAATATGTAGTTGTTGCCACGAACGATGATCTTGAATTCAACTAGCACGAACTTTGATTTGAACTCGTACTCCTTGAATCTTGACTTGTTCTTCGTTCTTGAGCTTGAACTTGATTGCTTGAAGCTTGAAACTTGTAGAGAAATTTGCGGCGTTTGATCCACGAGCTCTCTCTTGCTTCTTGTTATAACTTTTGGTATCTTTTCTGGGTTATGAAGACCCCTATTTATAGTTGTGGGAGGGAAAAGTTATGATAAGAACAAACTCTTTCCGACCAATCAAATTGAAGCGTGGCAAGGCCGCATTTGATTGGCAAGAACATGTCACTTGCACATGTGGCGCGATTTCATTGGCCTTTTAATGTGACCTGGCATGCTTTGTCATTTTGACACGCGGCATGATCCCATTGATTCTTTTGTTTGACTTGGCGTGCCACGTCATTTCACGCGTGACACCATACTGAGCCTCTAGGAAGATGACATCTTGGTTCTAATGAAGTGGGCTCATCATTTGTAACCCAATTAAATGGGCTAGCTCAATTATATTGGATTTATATAATTAATCCAATAATATTAGCTCATAATATTTATTAAGACTAGTATATTTAAACTATAGTCCAAATTATTTATTGAATTTAAATTCAATAAATTTTACATGTCTACAATATTATTTTGGTGTATATTGATTAACTACTCATAATTTCATATGACCATAGTTTATGCTAGAAAAAAATGTGGCGATTAAAGTCTGGGTTTAGATTAAATTCAGAAAAAACCAAATTCATTAAACAAAGTCCAAGAATTAACTTAGTTTGTCATTAACTCATTAATGCTTTATTTTTAAAAGAAAATTCCGCTACCCAATCAATTAAGGATTATATAATTTCTGAAAAATTAAATTATTTTTTTTAAAAAAAATATATCTTTGTTTCTATAGCATGTGACCGTCAACCGTATTTAATAAATGTGAGATTACAAGTTGATCGCTTGCTAAGAACCTCTCCCTTTTCCTTTGTTCTATCCCCACTTAATTAAGTAAATTGGATAAAATTTAAATATTTTTTCATTTTGTTTTCAAGATTCTAATCTATTAATTTTAAAAGAGTTTTAAATTTATTTTTCTATTGTATAATTGAAATTTATTTAAGAGTGCCTTTATTCTCAACTTAACACATAACAAAGGCAGCTTCTATCCTTTTACTTTTTCTTTTTCTCTTTTACTTTTTTGTTCATTTCTTTTTCTTTCTTTAAAAAAAGAAAAGAAAAATAGAGACCAAAGAGAATGGAGTAAAGAACCAAATATCAAGCAAGTTATTAATAAACATCTCTAAACAGAGTTTCAAATCCAATAACCATAGCAATTGCTTTGTTTCACAAACAAATACTCAATGTAACAAGGAAAAGCATATTCATAATTCATCAATTCACAGTAAATTAAAATAAATGGAAAAATGAAACAAACAAACTTTCCTGAATTATTAAAATGAAAATTGTTGAAGATTGTGTATTAAGACAACTGCGGTATTATCTTTCCAACAGCCAAAACTTTGATCTCAGGATTTGCTCAATGGCCATGCTTTACATTTGTGTTCTCTCAAACTCGGCATTTTGTTGTAAAACAGAAAAGCAAAGCAAATCAATTAGAGAAAAAGGTTAAGAGAATTATTAAATTATCATTTCAGTTGAAGTTGATGCACAAAATTAATTGATTTAGCTTCCTATTAGTAGAAAAAATAATAACAACAACAATAGTAATTACGCTTCAATCCCAAAATAAGTTGGGATCCGTTATATGAATCCCAACTTCTTCGATTAAGCTCAACTCATATAATAATAATAATAATAATAATAATAATAATGATAAGAATAGAAGTTCTTTAACAAGACTAAAATCTATTCCCAACATATAGATATCACCTATATGGACTCTTTTTTAATTGTATCCTATCTTCAGCTAAGTCAGTGTTGATGCCAGAAATTATACGTCTTGCGAGACAACTCTTAGATGTGATTTTAGGTCTACCTCATCCCTTTTTATCCTTGTCACGACCCAATTTTTCCTCCGTTGGGTATCGTGATGGCACCTAGTCTTAGGGACTACGTAAGCCTAACATTTATTAAATAACAACAATAATTAAATAACATATAACAATCTTCGAAATGGAAACCTCCAAAATAAAATTATAATTTTCCAAAACCGGTAGTATAAGCCATAAGCTCTACTGAATTACCAGAAAGTTTATAAATACAAATGTTTTGAAATAGAGATAAAACAATGCAAGTACAATTTGAGAAGGTGACTCCAAAGCCTGCGAACGCAGCAACAGGTTTACCTTGAGTCTCCACAGCCAGATCCGTACCGTTAGCAAGTGGTCAACCGACTCCACATTACCCGGCTCTGCACAAAAATATGCAGAAGTGTAGTATGAGTACACCACAGTCGGTACCCAGTAAGTATCAAGACTAACCTCAGTGGAGTAGTGACGATGTACAGTCAAGATACTCACTAGTCAAATAACCTGCGTCATACTAAAATAATCGAAAATAAATAGCAGTGATAGCAACAATAATCAACTAGTGATATAAACAGTAAGGCAGCAAGAACACCATAATTATTACTCTGACGAATAAGAAAAACACAAGTACAACAAATTAAACAAGTCTTTCACATATAATTTCTTCAAATAAATACCCTCTAAATATATTTCTTCAAATAAGTATCCTTCAAATATAAAACTCTTTCAAATAAACATCTTTAAAAATATAATTCTTCAATTTAAAAGTCGCCCTGTGACACCTCATTTCATAATCATACAATACGGGTCTCAACCCACCTTCATATTTTTACGGCACCTCGTGCCCAATATTTCTATCACAACTGCACGGACTACTCACGTGCCAATAATATCAATGTATATAAGATCCACATGATCAATTTATTCCCAATAAGGTAAGTTTAAACTTTTTAAATCAAGAAAACCATCAAAGAAATGAATTTATTTTAGAAATAAGAGGGAGAATGTAATGACCCAACCGGTCATTTTAATTTTTAGAACCCCGTTCCCTAAAATAAAACTTTCCGTATGTACTTTTAATGATTTATGACTTGCGGGGATGGTTGGTTCGGGATTTGAAAGTGTTTGGGTTGAAATCGGAACACTTGGTTCCTTAAGTTGGCTTTAAAAGGCCAAGTTTGACTTCGGTTAACATTTTGAGAAAACGACCCCTGAATAGAATTTTGATAATTTCAATATCTCTGTATGGTGATTTTGGACTTGGGAGCGTGTTCGAAATTTTATTTGGAAGTCCGTAGTTAAATTAGGCTTGAAATGGCTAAAATAAGAATTTAAATTTGGAAGTTTGACCGGGGAGTTGACTTTTTGATATCGGGGTCGGAATCCAGTTTTAAAAATTTACATAGCTCCATTATGTCATTTGTGACTTGTGTGCAAAATTTGAGGTCAATCAGACTTGATTTGATAGGTTTCGGTACCGAA